ATGCACTTGTTACTACTAGCGATGCATTTGTTACTACTAGAGATGCAGTTGTTACTACTAGCGATGCACTTGTTACTAACGGCTTCTTGTTACTACTAGCGATGCACATGTTACTACTAGCGATGCACTTGTTACTACTAGCGATGCACTTGTTACTAATAGCTTCTTGTTACTACCAGTAAGGCACTTGTTACTACTAGCGACGCACTTGTTACTACTAGCGATGCACTTGTTACTACTAGCAATGCACTTGTTACTAATAGCTTCTTGTTGCTACCAGTAAGGCACTTGTTACTACTAGCGATGCTCTTGTGACTACCAGTAAGGCACTTGTTACTACTAGCGATGCACTTGTTGCTAATAGTTTCTTGTTACTACCAGTAAGGCACTTGTTAGTACTAGCGATGCACTTGTTACTAATAGCTTCTTGTTACTACCAGTAAGGCACTTGTTACTACTAGCGATGCACTTGTTACTAGTAGCGATGCACTTTTACTGTAAAAAGAGCCTTCACCTCCCAGGAGCCCTTGCAATTGGAGGTGGCCGGACATCGAGAGGAACGCGAGCACCGTGAGAAACAGGCCAGGCAGCTTGCTGCTGTTTGTTCTTCCGCAGCTGGATCAGGCCTACATGTCTTGTGCAATAGGTATCTGAACAAATTGCTTAGAGTACCGGTGAGAGTCCAGGTTTTGCTGGGTTAAATTGAGGTCATTCTCTTGTAGGAAACCCAGACCTTATTAGCTTCATCAGGGCATTATTAGGCCAGCGGCCAGCACGTGTCCTGGTCGTGAAGGTTGCGCCTCTTCATGCAGTGTTTGGCAGGATACTGTTGATGGACATGATCCCGTGATACTCCATGGCCGCACTCTGTTGCTACTGCAGTGGATTGGGTATCAGTTCCAACAATTGTTATTTGACGCAATATTGGTTTGTTTTGTATGTGTTTGTTTGACAAGACGTAGCGGAACAGCAGTGATTTGAAATCCACCGCACACGCCTCGTCAAAAAATCACCAGGGAGCACACAAATGCGCAAATGCACACAAATACGCACATGGACGTCACTTAACATCCCAAGACAGCAGCCCAAACAAACCTTGTCAGGACAATCTTGTATATACAATTTTCATCAGTTTTCTATAAATATATATAGATATATAATGTCACAACATTATATGTTGTGATGTCATGTATATTGATATATAACCATTGTATATATAGCCTGTTGCAAACAGGTGGACATTGGAAACAGGATTTAGGTCCTTTCGACAGAGTACAGGCACTATTCATGTGGGGAAAATCATATATGAAGCTAGGTGAAAGACAGCACCTTAAAGAGTCTACAGCCCCAACGAAACTTTGCAAAAACAAGTGAGAATCTTACAAATCTATCCGCCAAGCTAAAAGGTGTGTGGCAAAACAGTTGGTCAGCAAACTTTGCAAAATGCGGATCTTTTGGAAGTAGTTGTAACCGTTGTAACCAAACTATTCTCGATACATGTCGATACCTGTGTCCTTTGTGTCCTTGGTTCGGAACCATCCCCGATCTGCAGGTGGCGGACGCCGATCGGCAGATCGAGGCGCTGGAAGATCGGCAATACAAGTCGCCTCCTGGCTGAAGGGGGTGGTGGACGTCGCGATGTAGCGCACCAAAAAGATTAGAGGTTCCGGAGTGTCATGTCGAGGAGGTTCTGCACGTGGACATGCGTTTGGATTTGATGGTAGGCGGATGGTATGCAGATTCCGGAACGGTTCCATAAAACGTCCAACCTGGGAGATTCGCTACTAGTAACAAGGGTGTGGCTACTAGTAGCAAAGGGCGTAGCTACTAGTAGCAAGGACGTACTAGCAACAGGTGCTCTATGATTCTGTTTTATTTCCATTGTTTCCGCCGAGGACTGTGGAGGA